GCCAGCAAGGGACCTTGCACTTTGTGCTTGCCTTTGCAAACCTGCAGATTACGTTACAGACCTGAAGAGAGGGTAAGGGGGGCAGAAGGAAAGGAGAGCACTGCCAGGGTGTCCCCACTCCAGCGTCCTCCCTCCCTCCCCTGCAAGGGCACGAGGCCGACCGCTCGACCCAGCCCGCGGCGCGCTCGGCTGTACGGCACCACCAAAGCCGCCCCTGACATGAAATGGTGGCTGTGTTTTCATAGATTTGTTTTGCTTTAAAGAACAAAAAAGACAACAAATCGAGCAAAGGGCAGCGTGATGCGAGCGCCAGAACAGCCCTGCTCAGACCCCAGCCACGTCTGCGTCCCTCTGGCAGGGTCGCAGGCTGTGGCGTTTGCCTTTGAACACCAACCTCTCCAAGGCCACTCCGGGCTACGGCAGCGGATTAATACAGCTCAGCAGGGATGTGCTCTAACAGGTTCCACACCCTTAACCCTCTGTGCTCACTTTCCTGGAGAAACGTTTTCACGTCCCAGCCACTTCACACCCAGCGCCCCGCTTCTGCCCTCACCGAGGTGAGGAGGACTTCTAGGACTACCAACCTGCTCGCGGGGAACAGCGCGAAGGGCTGACACCGACACCTCCCTTTCAGAATCACGCTGGCCTTCACCACGTACACACTTGCAAACTGCATCACCAGAGGAGAAAAACCAGAGGAACCTTATCCGAGTATCTTAACAAAGATGAACGCAACCGCTCCGTTACGGAGTAAGCATTTTCTCTGGTTTCCAGCCTCTGCAGCATAAAAGAAAACCCCAAGGCACCACAGGGGTTTTAGCCAAATTATCAGCAAGTGGTAAGAGTTAACAGACTGATGATAGCTATCTGGAGGCTGCTCTGACTGTAAGATACATAATAAATCTTTTCAAGTTGTGACAAATGTCTTGGCTAATGCAGCCCACATTCTATGTTTAGATCTTACTAAAATGTAATACAACATTCGGGTTTCATTTTTTAACTATCATTAAGAAACAAACTCCAGTCCACTTTAATCTCTCCACAGCCTGAATTTGCACAGGGAATTACCATCCCCACCATGCCAATCTTCCCCACACCCGATATTCAACCAAAGGATAACAGATGTGCTTTCCAGGAGGGGTTTTTTGCTTACAAAAACACAGTCAAAGCGTAGAATGGATTCTAGGAGGCCAAAGGTGGAATCCTTGTCTCTTGCTCAAGGAAATCTCTGCGGAGCAGGTGACATCCCGCACCTTGGTGATGCAAGGCAAGATCCCAAACAGAACAGGCCAACAACTCCACTCCTGAGGGATCGAGGAGGACAAATGAGGACGAGGAGCTACGTCGTCTGTCAACACGCACCAGCGTCGTCAGTCAAATGCCTCTTGGATCCACTTCCATCCAGGCTTCACTCCCATGGCTCCCGCACCACACCTGGAAGGCCGGGTTCCAGCGCCATTAGCATGTAAACACCATGAGGTATTGCATTAACGCGCAGAACAACCCCTGGCGTGCCGGATGAGCCAGCCACCCGAAGCTGATGGGCACGATCGGGAAGAACAGACATTCGCAGGCGGCACCACCAAGACCTGGGTGTTTTGCAGGAGTTCGCACAACCGGATTCTGAAACCGGCTGATCCGGGCGGTCCTGCGTCGGTTACTCCACAGCACCTTCCGCAGCATTGCGCTTTGAGAGGCAAAATCTCTGGCTCCACTTCCGCACCCCGACCGGCTCCGATGCCGCGCCGAACCCTGGTACCACCGGTGGGTCAAAATGCAACTGGGTGACCGTCTTCACGTGGCTCCCGTTGCAGGTGACCGGGTTTCGCACCCCTGAAACGCCAGCTCCCGGCGGAGGCGAGGCAACGGGCAGGGGGACGACAAGGCTTGATTCGGCCGAGGAGCAAGAGCGCACACTTTGTTTCTGAAGAACCTGAAGTATGACCCTGTCTGCAGGTGCCACCGGAACCAAGGCACGGGCTAATTTAGGAGGGAACAAGACAGCTTGCGCGCTGGAACTGGAGAGGTTGGTGTGTCTTACACCCGAGTGTCTTCCCAGTAAAGCCGCCCCAGGGCAGGGCCACCGGGTGAAGAGCCAAGGTGGAGGAGCAGGCTGGCTCTCCCAAACTAGGGTCCCTTTGCAGCAGACGACAGAAACGGGGAGCAGAGGCCGTCCTGCACGCACAGCACCCACTCAGCCCTTTCCTGCCTCTGTGCCTGCACCTCCCACAACGCCTCTTCATGGAAGCAGTACGTCTGCAGGTGTAAATCAGCATTTTTTTGTCCCAGAAGCACAATTTTGCTGCAGGAAAGAAACCAACATGGCAGAGAGCTGTGGTGACCACCAGAGGTAGGTCCAGAGCACATGCCCTGTTAGGGGCAGCAGAGTTTATTCAGCTTGGAGAATGAGCTCCGTGGGGACCTGATGGCCACCTTCCTACGAGGAAGGCGTCAGAAAAACAGAGCCAGGCTCCTCGCCGCGCTGCAGGGCGGGAGGACAAGAGGCAATTGGTGTGAACCGAATCAGGAGAGGTTCAGACTGGGTATCAGGAGAAACTCTCCTCCAGGAGGATGGTCAAGCAGCAGAGCTGGAGCCCAGGGAGGCTGAGCAGTCGCCTTCCTCGGGTGTTTTCAGCACCCAGCCAGGTAACGCCCCGAGTGATCTGCTGTGAGCAGGAGGTTGGATGAGAAACCTCCAGAGGTCCCATCCTGTCTGAATTGCCCAACGGATTGTTGATTCCAGGCTGAGACCTGGCTGTAGTCCACAATGAAATGCTTTACCTGAAATACACGGCAACACCCTCGCACACAGACAGCTTCCAGACCTCCGAACGGCGGCACGTTTCAGAAGCAAGCTGCTTCACTAAGCCCAGCACCTGCTTTCCAGCATTCCATGAACAGCCCATGTGTAGCCACATCTCACCTGGCTTTAACAAACATTTTTTCCAACAAACAAGGACCCTTCTGTGGATCTGGGGGGGGAATTGCTCAAACCAGTACCAGCCCGTGGCAGTGGGGCTGTGCTGGGATCGGCCACCCCGCC